GCAGATTGGGGTGGTACTACTGGTTTGTTCGTGTTTTCAGAAACAACTTAAAGATTTTTCTTAAAAAAAGAGAGGGAACCTCCGCGCCCACCCCCTCCCACCCTGCGCTGGGTGACGCACAGCCTGTCCCCTCATCCCCGTGCTGCTGCAGAGACACCCCCAGGCGTTTATTCCTGGGGGAACATTACGAACAACCACCCAGTAGGTTGGTTTTTCAGCCCTGTTGGCTTGGTTTTTTGGGGGGTTTTTTGGTGTGTTTTCAGCTTGTGCCCTGCACTGGAGCTGTGCTGCTTCCCCCAGCGTTTCCGTGGCCGTTTCGGGCTGGCAGGACGCTGTCGGGCTCCTTCCAGCCCAGGTGCTGCCAGCAAGGTGCTGGGGACCGAGGCTCGCACACGCAGAGGACAGGCCACACGCCTTTAGCCATTTGTAACGTATTTTATTCTCTTTTTAAACACTGATTAATCTTTCTGGTTTTGTTTTCTTTTTCTCCCTGCTCCCAGTTTTGCTCAAGGCCCATTAAAAGATGCTCCTAATTTAATCTGTACGCCCCACACGGCTTGGTACAGCGAGCAGGCGTCACTAGAGATGAGAGAAGCTGCTGCTACTGAAATACGGCGTGCGATCACAGGTACCCAGCCCCGCGCCGAAGCTGGGGTTCGCTCACGTGTGCGCCTGGCACGTGAGCCCGGAGGGGCAGAGACGGGGCTTCACCCTGCCCCATGTCTCAGCAGGAGACTGGGAAAGGAGTCAAACCCTGATTTTTCTTCCCAGCGAACGAGCTGAGAAACCAAACTTCACTTTTCTGTTGTTTGGGCATGTTTGGGGTTAGGTGAGGGGGTTTTGTGTGTTTTGGTTTGGGTTTTTTTTTAAATCAATGGGGCACTTGTGCAGCATGGCAAAGACTAGTGTCCATGACTGGGAAAAAAAGGACAGTGAGGCAATTAATTGCTGCCTCTTCTAATGGTGCCAACCCCAAAGGTGGTGCAGACCAGAGCCAGCTGCATGCCAGAACCAGATCCCAAAGCAGTGAAGGCACCTGTGTCCTGCTCTTGCTGTAACTGAGCTTGCTCCAAGGTGGGGGTCGTGATACTGCAGCAAATGGGTGGTCCTCGTGTCCTAAAAATTGCCCTCCTTGTTGCTGTGGAAGGCGTAGCTTCATGTCTGGCTAGCCCTGCTTTGAAAGCGGCGGGCTCAAAGAAACAGCTCCCCTGAAAGCAGAGAGTTGGGACTGAGGGTAGGAAACTGGTCTCCAGCCCTGCACCTCGGGCCAGCCAAAACATCCTCCTGAAACAAGGGATACGGGAATTTTTTTCCCCATCCTTTACGCTAACAGATAGAGTGAAATGAAAAAAAAATTGTAGTTTATTGGAGAGTGAGAAAGCTGGGACCCGCCTGACACGTACTTACCTTTATTACCAACTCCAGGGCGCATCCCAGAAAGCCTAAGGAACTGCGTGAATAAGGAATTCTTTGTCACAACAGCCCCGTGGTCAGTAATAGATCAGCAAGCGATTCATCCGGAGCTCAATGGTGCCACGTACAGGTAAGCCAGAGAACAGGACCACCGCAGCCCGCCCCACCAGCCGAGGGCCGGGCCGGGGTTCCAGCTCTAAACTGGGCGGGAAAGCCCCAGCACCAGCAGCGGCTCAGCCGGTGGCTGCGCAGGCCCCCTCCTTGGGGACCAGGGGTGACATCGCTGGGGGGTCACTAACGCTGCTTGGTTTAACCACGGGTTTATGAAGCCTCCCGTGTACAAAGCCTTCGTTCCGGTGGGCCAGCAGTCACTCGTGCAGCTTCTCCATCAGCAGCAGGACCCCCCCAGACCCACCAACAAGCGGGACATCACTCCCAAACCGAGGAAGCGCCTGCAGAGCCGCGCGCTGACCGCTGCGAGCCTGCCCCAGCCCGTGGGTTAATGAGCCGGGGTAAAACCGCCCACCATCGGTCTGTAGGCAGGTGGTCTGATTTCCACCTAAATCCCCCGAGATTAGGGTTATTTATTGCTGCGCTTTGGACAGCTCAAAGCACGCTGACAGGAGACACGAGGACTCAGCCGGAGCACGGGCAGCCTTCAGCGTATCACCATTGCCAAAAGTACTCTGAAGATACAAAAAAAAAACCCCCTGCGGGGCACGTCGGGTCTCGTTCCGGGGCAGAGGCAGGCAGGAGGGCATGGGGCAGCAGAGCCCTTGAGAAGGGAAGGCCCCGAGCAACGCCGGGGCCGTGGCCCTGCCCGCTCCCTGCAGGTCACAGGCAGAAGGTGTGGACCAAAACACCCAAACCCGGTGCAAGCGTCCCCCTTGGTCCTGCTCCGAAGCACGTGGGCAAGGCCCTTGCCCTGAGGACAAGCCTCGACTTCCCAGCTTACCCGCTGCAGGGTGCTTCATCCTTGCTAAGCTCCTCGGAAGCCAGGACCCGGCGCCCCCCTAAACTGGGGTCAGCTCACCCCCTTCCCGGGCAGGTAGAGCCTCCCTTCCCCTCCCCCCTTTCCCCCTCTGCTTTCCCCTAAGGTGACGGCAGCAGCAGGGAGGCGCTGGTGGTTGGGGCCTTCAGGGCCAACAGCCCTCCAGGGCGTTCTGGCCTCGGCCCCATGTCTCTGTGGGCAGCTCAAGAAATGCTCATTCCTCCTTTCTCAAACACGATGTACTCTTGGCCCACGTGTAACTCGCCCTGCTCTTGGAAAGGAAGAGGGGGGTAGATCCAGCCCCGTTTCTGGGCCGTCCTGGCTGGTCACGTGAGGAAGACGCCGCTCCCCTTCCGTAGAGGGAGAACTTACAAACCAGATGCAGGTGCTCAAAGGTGCTCGGGCGCAGGGACGATTAGGTCGGCACGCTGAGCCTCAGCGAGCGTTCAGAGACGATTCCTTACCCCATTTTTTCAAAAGAGAAAGGCTTCCTTACGGTTCAAGAGCCTGTTAGAAGGTACTGAGCAAGATGCAGTTCTGCTGTCGTAGTAGAGGACGCTCACCCCCGATGCAGCAGCACTGGTTTAGCCTTTAACATGGAGCATGTCCCTTGTGATTTCAAGAGAAAAAGCAAGCTCAGCTCCAGCAGAGGAGTGGAGTCGCTTAGCTGCTCCGTTTCTCCGTAGCCCCTGCAGCGGTGGTTGGGTGATTCGCGCTGTCCGGGGCGAGCTCTGACGTGCCAAACCTGCCTCTCTCTGTCCCCTCCCCAGGTATCCCCCTGGGATGGTCAGCGTCGCACCGGGAGGCATACCGGCCGCGATGGAGGGCATCATTCCCGGAGGCATCCCTGTCACTCACAACCTTCCCACGGTGGCACATCCTTCCCAAGCTCCGTCTCCCAACCAGCCCACAAAACACGGGGACAACAGGGAACATCCCAACGAGCAATAGCAGATAATTTAAAAATCATTCAATAAACTTAGGACCAAGAGACGTTGGAAAAGAAGTTTTACGTGAACTGCAAAAAAAAAAAACAAACAAACAAAAAAAAAGAATTTGCTACGAAATTTGTAACGTTGATTTCGGACAGACGCATCATTGATGTTCCAGTGTTACCGACCAAGCGACAGCCGCCAAGCCTGGGGAGAAGCCCTGAAGGAATCACCTGCGTACCGAAGCGCTGAAAACTAGGACGTGATACGTTAATGATCAACTTCTGTTCTTGTGTGTTAAGTTTCCTTCATCTGTGCATCAATCACATGAATAAAAATAGATATTTGCCCCCCCCCCCCTCACCCCCCTCAGTTCCTTGGGAAGGACAGGGCTCCTGCACCTGCGCCAAACCCCTGCATTAAGCCATCTTTACCGAGTTAACGTAGAAATGGTAGAGGAAACCATTATGTGGCTTCAGCCCTTTCCTTACTCTCGCATCTGGTTACCTCTTCTAACGGGAGGCATCAGTACTGGCTGAGAAGCGGAAGCAAAAAAAATAAAATAAAATAATAATAATAATCATCATCCTTTTTGCAGTCTCATAGGGCTAGTGCCGTGTAACAGAAGTTCTCCTGCCAGGTTTAACGCCAGCCGTTCCAGCTGGGAGCCGTGGGATGGGGCGGGGAGAAAGGGCTCCTGGCAACGGCCGCTGCCCTCCCCGCTAACGAGGAAACAACCTGCCAGCCTCTCCTCTGCCCGACACACTGAGTAAAGTAGCTGTGCATTCACCTACGCCCTGCAATGATGCAAGAAAAAAAAAAAAAGAAAAAAAAAAAAAGAAAAAAAGAAGAAAGTATTAAGTTTCACACACTATTTGTACTCAAATATATTTTCTCAGTTTTAAATCTGCAGCTATTTTATCAAGTGGAAAAAAAAGAAAAAAAAGTCTTGAGCTGGAAAGGGTTCAAGAATAATGTTGCATTTCCTTATGTCTCAGGAAACACTTTTTATGGTAACTTGTCAGACTGTCTATGAACAAACCCCACTTTTTTAGACATTGATAAAAGTCTTCTTTTCTTCACGTGATATTTTATACAAGAACACTTCAAAATGTGTTATTAGATGTGACTGATTTTAACAAATCCTATTAGATTTGTATCAACTAGTTACATGTTATATTCATAGTCTTTTGTGAATCATCGCCTTTTTGTTTTTAAAAAAAAGATGGCCTGTTTTGAGCCTTTGTATGGGTACATTCCTGTTTCTGTGACAAAGAAATCTTAAGCTGTCCCAAACAGAAAAAGAAAAAAAAAAGAAACCAATGGCTATCGGCAGTATGTTTTGTTTTAGTGTGTTACCGTTACTGTATTTGTTTATTGTAAAGGTGGACATTTAGCGTTCAGTGCAGTTTTCAATAAAAAGTGATAAAATTTCTATAATTTCTGCAAGGTCAGAGCTCTGGCTGCAGTCTGACTAGCGCTTCACCTTGAGGACGAGGAGAGGGCACCACAGGGGTGTAGCTCCGAGCACACGGTGCCCCCCCCGAAACCGAACGCGCTCTCCCAGCCGGGAACGGGTAAGTTGTGCTGCGGCGACCTCGGTGCCGCCCGGGCCCCCGCGGCAGGAGGGCGACGCCGGGA